GCTCCCTCCAGGTACAGGCACAGCTGCAGCTGATCCCCTGATTCCCCTTTCCACAGGCACCACTTGTGTTCTCTCCAGCTGTGCAGGGATCACAGGGCTGGGCTCGGGCACGGGATGCCCTGAGCTGCTCCCTGGGGCAGGCAAGGAGCAGCAGGACCCTGCCCAGTAGTGGTGCTCCAGTTCCCCCAGGAGGGACATCCCTCAGGCTCTGTGTCCCTGAGCCACCAATCCTGGTGGCTGGAACTGGGTTTTTTTGACTAAGCTTTTTTTAGCTGGGCTGGGCTTGGAAAGGCTGGTACTTGCCTTAGGCCAGTGATGTGGACTAAGTAAACATCATCATCTTCTAGGTAGGAACTGAGGTGCAAAGCAAGCAGTGACCACTCCTTCCCCAGCAGAAGTGGATTTGGGTTGGTTTTTGTGAGTTTTGGGGGGACTGACCCCAGCAGGTGCCCTGGGCCAGCTCAGTGTGTGGCTTTCAATGAATGTGGCATTTTCTAACAAAAAATGGTGCCTGGGACGTTCAAAGGCACCTTTTCACACAAATCCCTCTTGTAAATATTTATCCTGAGGGAGCCTCCACCAGCAAGCAGCCCTGGAGGTGCTGGCAGGCTCAAGCAACCTCTTGTACCAGGACTAGGGAGCTTTAAAAACTGCTTTTGTTCCTGTTTGGAGCAGGAAAATCCACCAAGGTCCTGCTTGGCAGGTCTCAGGGGACACGGGGCCTTTCAGAGCCTCTGCTCCTTGAAAGTCACCCTTGATGAGTGACCAACCTGCAGGTTTCCCCATGTCCATTTTCCAGCTGTTTTGGGTGCAAAAGCAAACTTGAAAATGCAGCTTGTCCCCTCCACCATTGCAAAATGGGAAAACTGGGAAAACCCCAACAACCAACACACACAGGAAAGCAGCTGGGTCCTGGTGGACACCAACCTGAGCACGAGCCACCAACAAACTTCCATTCCCATCTAAAAATCACCAATGAAGAATCAAACAAAACAGCACTTTAAGTGCTTTTCCTTTCACAAGGGGAATAACTCCTATTACTCTCATTATTCTTAATATACTCACTAAGTATTTTTGGGTGAACATCTGCACTTGTCTAAACAACTGGAACAAATATTCTGGGTGGAGTGGCCATCCCACTGGATTCCCTGGAGATATTTGTCCAGAGGGGCTGAGATTGGAGGTGCCTCTGAAAACCGTGCAGTCAAATCATGTGATTTTGAATCCCCCCCAAAACCCCAACATTTTTTCCCAAAACCTCCCTGTTTTTTTTCCTTAAAAATCATCACTTGGTTCCTCAAAAATGGGGATTTCCCCCCTCCCCCCAGCAAAGCCAGTTTTGTTCCTCAGAAATGCAGTTTTCTCAAAAAAAAAACCATTTTCCCCCCAAACCCCACCATTTTCTCCCCTGAAAAAAAAATTTCTGAAAAAACCCACCATTTTTCCAAACCCCTCCAGTTTTTTGCCAACCCCCCCATATTTTTTCTAAAAACCCTCATATTAAAAAAAAAATCAATTTTTGTCCCCCCATTTTTTTAAAAAAAATGGTTTTACCCCACTTGTTTCTCAAGAAACCACAATTCCCCCTCCAAAAAAAAAATTTCCCAAAACCTCACAAGTTTTCCAAAGATATTCTCAAATTTTTTCCCCAAACCCACCATTTTTTCCCAAAACCCCCCCATTCTTTCCCAAACCCACTGATTTCTTTTCCATAATACCCACCATTTTTTCCAACCCCCTCCCCATTTTTTCACAAACCCACTGATTTCTTTCCCATAATACCCACCTTTTTTTTCCTAATAAACCCCTTTTCCTTCCTAAAAAACTCCATTTTTTTTCCCCCAAACGCCTCATTTTTTCCCCAAAAAACCACTTTTTACCCCCAGAACACCAGTGACATCCTAAACATGCACATGGAGCCAACTGGGGGGCCCTGTGAAGAGGCACCTTGGGCTGCCCTGGGCAAAGTGTTGCCGGTGGGTTGAGGTGATGCTCCATCCCTGGAGATGCTCAAAAGCCATGTGGGCATGGGGAGGACATCTGACCCTGCTCGAGCAGGGCTTTGACCCCCCCTGAGGTGCCTTCCCAGCTCCACAGCTCGTCCGTGGCCCTGCTGAGGCTTTGGCAGCTCACAGGCAGGAAGCACCTTTGCCAGTCACCACCCGAAAATGCGGGCGAGTGGCCGCGGTTCCTGCCGGGCAGGAGGCTCTGCCAGCGCCCACACGCCAGGCTGGCACTGCTGGGATCCCAAAGAAACGCTGGAACAAACCCTCAGCCCTGCCAAGGGCTTTCCCAACCCTGCAGCAGCAGCAGCAGCAGCACCGGGAGTGGTGGAATCATGGAATCACAGAATCAGAGAATCACAGAATCAGAGAATCACAGAATCAGAGAATCA